TGATAGTTTTAAAATAATTTTTTCATCAGAATATAAACGAGATTCATGTAAGAAATCCATTCTACTCTGTAAATGAGCCTGGCTCTCTGTACTTCTGAGTACTTTGATTACATTCTCGTCTTCTACAGAAACACCGGTCCAGTTTGGCATAGAGTATCCATGGGTATAGTGGGCTCATTTTTTATCCTCTTATAAAGGGAGGCAATTAAGAAATAGTAAAAACTGTGCGGGTGTAACTAAAAATCCTCATTCTATATAAAACATAAGGTTTTAGTTCACCTGAACCGAAGGCTCAAGTAATCTTTTCTGATCATTTTATCCATTATCCATTGTCGTCGTCATTGTCTTAAACTTTTCACATTTTCATCTTCTTCTGCAGAACCACTGGGCCAATTTTAACCAAACTTGGCACAGAGTATACTTTCTGAAAGGGAATTCATGTTGGAACAAAAGAAGGACACCCTCTTCCACGGAGAGAACTCGAACTGAATACCGAGAGGATATTAAATCTTCTTCTCAAGAATCACTAGGCCGGAAAAGATGAAACATGCGAAAGCTTCCTGTCATAATGTTTATTCAAAATTGTTCAAATAATGACACCTGGGGATGGGATGGGGCCACAGTGGGTGATCAAAGTTTTACATAGGAAAAATCTTTTTAAAATCTTCTCAAGAACAACTGGTAATTTAAAAGAACGATCGGTGCCATTTATAGAGAAGTATCCTTCGGTAGTGTTGGTTCAATTTTGTTCAAACAATGACCTCCGGTGGGGTCACAATAAGCAAACAAATTTAAATATATATAGGGAAAATTTTTAAAAATTTTCTTCTCAAGAACGGCAAAGACATGATTAATGTTAGTGAGTATTAATTTCGAACCATCCTCACGTAGTGTAGATTCAAGTTTGTTCAAATCGTGACCCCAAGGAGTACCGAGGGGTGAGCAGAGTTGAACATGAGAATATACAGGAGACATCTTGAAAGATCTTCCCAGAAATAGCAAATCCATGATTAGTAGTGTAATTCAGAAGCATCCTCAGATAAGGTATCTTCAAATTTGTTCAAATCAATTTCCCTGGAGGCAGGGCCGGGCTACAATAGAAAGAAACAACATAAGTCAATTTATTTTTCAGGAAGTGAGACATTCTGGGTAGGGGGTAAGCGGGCTTCACACACAAAGACATTACAATGTTAGTTTTTCTTGTAATTTATTACGTAAGTTTATGTACATCACCCTAACGTTTATTAGAATTCAACGAGATTTCCATTATTCTAACGATCTTTACAATGTACACAGCGAACCAAGAATTAAGCATCTCACCCCTTGCCATGATGAAGGCAATCAATTTCATTTTAAGTCAGGTAATAAGTTATCAATTATTAAAATAAATTGATTCTTATCACTTTAGCGAAGACGTAATTTTAGCACGATTTAACCTCGGGATCGATCGCTTGCAGGGTTTCACTTTCTATGAGAAGTTCGATTCTCTCTGTGACACAAGTAGAGCTTTTCGAAAAAGCTTACCGTCTTTACCAACAATTTTAAACAGTAAACAGATCTATACTTAACAGGCCGTATAATTCTTTTGAATTTCTTGATTTTGTATTTCTATATTAGCTTTTCACGGGCATTAGCCCTACCACGGTTGTCGCTCGGTCATCTCCGTAAACTTTGACTGGCCGAGAGCTTTCGGCAAACCTCGGCTGATTCCCATTCACTCTTCAAACAAGAAAGGGGAAAAGAATAATAACAAATTGTAAAGCCTGCAAGCAATAACTATCAAATTTTATTTATAATGAAATTAAAGAGACTTTTTTATTTATTGCTATAAAAAATATCATGTTATTAAGAAATAATTAATTACTGCTGATTTTGTTCGTTTTGTCATTTTTTTAAGATTGGAAATCTTGCAAAATTGTTAAGTCGTACGAAAAATAGATCATCAGAAAGTTATCTCCCTTGCCTTGAACAGCATTTCAACCAATGAAATAATTGAAAATTTTCTCATCATGCAATTTCTACCAATCACAAAAGAGAGGAAGTGCAAAGTCCGAAGACTGTAAAAAACTTCAACTATACTATACCGTCTTCCAAGGAAGACGGTAATCAAAGCACAAAAATGATCCAAAGATATTTTAACAGATAATAAACAAATCATCAGCAAAAAAATTAATTTAGGTTAACTTTCTGAAATTATCACGATCATCAGCAAAAATAATTTTTAGTTAGGTAAACTTTCTGAAAAAATTATCTTAATAGTACGAGTATACATTATTAATTTTATACTGACGGTTTAAATATGTATTAAAAAGAACATTTTGATATTCTTCATGTAATTTGATACCGGAAAATAAACCGCAGTTCGGCAGAGTTTCCATCTCTCTTTCTCCTTTAGAAAATATCTCGACTATTTAATTAATCATTGAAATATCTTTATCGGCGGCTCAATATACTTGCGAAATATATTGATGTTGATATAGTCGGTCTAATGAGAGTCAATCCTGTTATGTCCATGTATCCGTATATCACTCCGCCGAATATTGAAAGTGTGTGCCGGTGGAAGTTGGGCATATTTTTTCTGATTTTTCCTGGCTGATCAGCTCCCTCCGCTGGTCTCAACTCTCTCGTAAAACCTTCCACTACAAGTAGAATGGCGTATTACTTAACCGTACGGGCCTATTAATCTCAGTATAATAATATTATGTTATTATCAGTCCTAAAAACGTGTTACAAAATATTGATATATCTAAGGTACTAATATGTTCAAAATATTAAAGGACACATTAGCTGACAATATCAGTAAAATAAGAATTATCTTTTATACAGATTAAATATAATGTAAACGGTGAAGATAAGAACATAATACATATAAGTGACGAGGGTATAGAACACGAACATCTGGAAATTCCAGAGGTAGGGTCAGGTGCCCGGGGGGGGGTTAAGTATCTCCTGTTGACCGGTCACACCCGTCGTGAGCTCTAGGTAGACGGACATTTCCGTATATAGTCAAATTCAGTGTAATAACAAGCACAGGTCAGTATGTCAACATGTGACATTGAAAATGGATTAAAGTTTAGATGATATATAGAGAATAATGAAAATAACACGTTAAAGTATCTTCATCAAGACATATTAATCATCAAATTATTGATCTCAGCGAAAGTCTTCCTCATTAATGCAGTCAATGGAAAAATTGTGTTTAATTTGGCAATTTAAAATTCCAATACTGGTAAAGCATAAGAAAAGTGCGTATTTTCCTCTTAATTTCACGGCTTTATTGATACTGGTAAATCAATCGAACACTTCCCTGTATTCAAGGCAAATTTTCTTGATCTTGAAAATCTAAGAGATTTGCACGTAACACTATACGCACTTTTCTTATGTATACCACATATTCAGTTGCGCTTAGAGTGCATGATATGAGATGATACTATTAGCTTTTGGGTGGACGAGTTCCACTGGATGATTCAATCAAATATCACATCATATGAAATTAGAAATGGCGATTCAGTCGACGTTCGTATTAATATATAATATCGAGCAGTGTATAATGATAAATATAACCTGGTTACAAACCTCTTTGTATATATACATGTATTACTGATAAAATTTAGCAAAGTTTCAATTTGTATGTCTTTGTTTTCACTATCTTTACTGTTTAGTATTTCTATCAGACTTGATTTTCAATCTTCAGATCTCTCCTATAAGCACTAGGAGTTGGTAGATGTTCTCTCAATGTTTTGACCTTTCTACCAATTGCTAAACACACTCAAGAATAAAAAAAGATCACTTTAAAAAAAGAAAAACAAACTGTTCATTGAAGGTATTGTGACTAAACATTTGAAGGAGAGAGAGAGGGGGTAAATCAATGGTTTTGCATTTTCAAACCATTTAGGTTTTTTTTTTATTCCGCCCTGTAAGAGATTCTTTACACTACATGTATAATGATTTTCAATAGTATATACATTATTACACAGGAAAAATGTCCACATGTGTTAAACATATGTTTGGTTTCACATGTGTTCAACACATGTTTTATACATGTAATACATGTGTGTAAATAAACACATGTAAAATATGTGTTTCATTTATATGTAAAACATATATAATATACACATGTTATACACCTGTGAGATAATATATATGTTAAACACATGTTTTTCACCACACATGTATAACACGTATTATATGTATGTAATATATGTGTGCGAAAATACAGATGAATTATACATGTTTAATTTATATAAAATATATGTGTATTCATAAACACATGTTATACACATGTTAACTTTTATCTCATATGTGTGTGTACATTAATTCAAAAGAATTTGTAAATGTTAGTAAAATTTTACTCATGTAAAGTTTTACTTTGTTTATCCCCCCCCCCCCCCTTTCCCTTCTAAAAAAACTTTCACAATTTTTTTTTCTGTAATAATGCATTTATCAGACAAAATTGATAAATAATGAATTCATTTTCTTTTCATTTTAAATCTTTTGGGCTTGGCTTACTTCTTGAGTAAAATTAAAATAATTCCGTATTTGTCTCCGGGCCGGTTTTGTCTTTTATCGGATGAAAATGTACGTCATTTTTGACGTCACTGCTGCAGCAGACGTGAAAGGTAAGTGATCTCCAAACAATTTTTAAAAGACTTTTAATTCACATTGTTTAAATATCATTTCATTATAGTTACAGGTGCGTATGAACTTTCTATATACATGTAATACGCTTATCATTGTGACTTGTCATGCATTTCGTAAACCTAACGATCTATATAGTGATCTGTAAGTAATTTTGATGAAAAATGTTTCTGACTGAATGTAAGCACGGGCACTGGAAGTTAATGTAAATATATAGTATGTGTATGTATAAAAAAGACCCCTTTTTTTTATACATACACATACTATATTTATATTAACTTCCAGTGCCCATGAATGTAAGCGGTTACATGTTAGGCTAAAGGCATTACTATTTTTTATAATTTGTATACAGGTAAGTAATTTTGGATAAATTTGTTTCTGAATGAACGTAAACATTACATGTTAGGCTATTTTTAAAAGGCATTATTGGTTTTCCTTTCATGGTTACGTACTGATATGAAAGTGAAAGTAGAAACCTTGAAACCATTGTGACTTGAGATGGCTGTCAAGTCGATTCTTTCATCAACTTAATAACAAGTGTTTGTTTTTATGGCCTATAGATGCATGCAGTAACTTGAGTTCAGTGTCACATTGCTGCGTCTAAAAAGCCCAAAGCTGATAAGACTGGCGATTGATCCTAAGGCTGATTTGACAGATGATTGCATCAGCACAATATTAAAGGTAAAAATAAATACTTCCAAGAAAAATCAAAGTAAACATCTGTGATGACTCCTTCATGACAAAATATTTCTTGATACATTGTAATTTCTTTTTGTTCCTTTATAATTCTACATTTGTTGTTTGCACGACTTCATAAATAATAAGTCCAACTCAATGCTACAAATACAATAATTTTATTCTATATTATAATATAAAACAGTTTTAATCCAGTGCACTTTTAAAATATGGAAAGTATCAATGGAATTTGCTGGCTTTAAAAGCTATGAAACTGGTACATGCAATGTAAATGACTTCAGGGGGGAGGGGGGGGGGTTATTGAATTTTTGAATTTCAGTTAAAAATTAATAATAACAGTGACATCCAACTATCAAGGTACAAGTACATGTGCTTATGTGTTGATTGTTGAAAGTACATCAGCTAGCTAATCCATTGGATATTTACATCTATTATGTACCGGTATTCATTACCTGACATTTATTATTATTTTCCAACACTAGAGAACATAGTTTCTGGTAAAACGTAAGATATTAATTAAGACTATTAAGAACCTACAAACATGTACTCTCTCTTTTTTGTAGTTGTAGTTTTGTAGTTTAATTGAGTTTTAGTTATGCTTAGAAGATATCTACTGCATGAATATTTGTTTTACAGGTTCAATATACAGTCAGCGTCTCATAAGAATAAATCCCAAGATCCAAGACTTGCTTAAAAGCTTAATTAAGGTAACTACACACTGTTAAATAAATTTTGTTATATTCTTCCCAACAACGTTTGGGATATCCTGGAATCACACTGTCTATTTTTGTGCCTGTCTACTTCTTTGTAGTATTTTTTGTCCAAAAATAAAATATTTGTGTCAGAATCTTCTTAATTTTTGGCAATATGAATTAGTAATACTGTTTGAACATTCCAAATTTAATTGTCAAAATCAAAAAAAAAAAAATGCTTTTTATGACTTTATTATGAAGCATATCTTCCAACAGTGTAATTATCTTGCAAATTACATCATAGGGTTCCACAAAACACCTAGTATAGCATATATAACATTAGTTTTATCTCTTATCATATCTCTGTTGGTGAATTGGGCATACATTTGTTTGCTGAACTTTAATATTACTTGTAGAATTGATTTTGTAATTTAAGAATTGTTTTATTTTTACTTTTGAAATTTTTGTAGAGACCATTCTGTGCCACAAAGAAATTGTTCAGGAAAGGGAGAAATGGTGGATTTGCATTTTGGGTACAGTTCAAAGAGAGTTCAAAATGGTCAAGCTCATGGAAGATCAGAGGGAGGACAACTGAAGAAAACTGAAAGATACAGAAGGAAAAAGAACAAGAAAATATATGAAATAATTATGAAATTGGGAGGATGTACACAATCTTGTCTGCATTTGACCTGTAAAGATTTAATTCCCATTCTTATTTGTATGCTGTAATATCAAATAACTTGATTTTTCATAAATTTACAATAGAGAATACATGACAAATGTTATATGTGATATTTCAATTTTGCTTTGGACACTTTCATGTCAAATCATATAAATTATAAAAAAGTACATGGACTAATTATGTTATTCATTTGTACATGTATAACTAATCATTTTGTGGAAATCTTATAATTGTACTCAACTTAGAATATGTAAAATATATGTATCGACAAATGCTACTGACTTGTTTGTATACTTTCCTGTTTAGAAAGTACACTGAAAAATAAGTTATTTCTCTTGATGAAAATAATTTATCAAAAAAGCTGTGTAAGCATTTTAAGATATTAATTTTCAAATATTTAACCCATGAAGATAGATCATTGGAATGTAATGGATTTTCATCTAAAGCAGAAATATCTGATTTTTAAATGTGTACAAGAATGTGTTTTTCCTTGTGATAAATATTGAAAGAGAACACATGTAACTATTTCATATGACTTACATATGCTCATATGCTGCCCTTTTCATATGATTCACATATGTGGACAGACATGAAAAAAGTATAAAAATGATAATAAGTACAACAGTAATATTATACACATATAATTCACATATAAAGTATAACATGTATAAAACATATGTTTAACACATGTTTCATATGTATAAATATACAATGTGTTTATTTTTACACATGTTAAACACATGTGAAACATATGTTTAACATGTGTAAAAATAAACACCCTATACATGTGTGCTCCTTTTATGTGTTTTACATGTGTAAAAAATATATGTTAAACACATGTTTAACATATGTTCAACACATGTGGACATTTTTCCTGTGTAGCGGATGAATGCCCGAATATTGCTAAAAAATAGCAGGTATCATAAATACTATATTAAGTCGTTATAAGAAGCTTATAAAAGGACAAATAACAGAACAGTGATCGGTCATAAAGCTGCTTCTGAATCTCCAGGTATACAGTGGTCACTGCCCTCTGGCTTGACGGACAAACCTGTCTGGCATTTCTGTAAAATGCTTGATAATCATACGAATTAAACCCTCTTCAAACAAATAAACTCAGGTTTCTTCTTTATCTACAGGGGGTTGTCTTAATTTTCCAATATTCTACTGTATCTACAGGGCTTTGTTTTATTTTTCATATATTTCTTGATATTTGTAGAAAACGGTGAAATCAGCAAAAGTCATTCCACTGAACATCCCAGAATTATTGAAGAGTTCAGTACCGATGTGGAGTAAACAGTAAGCTCAACTGGCGGTCCCATTATCTGATGACTTGCTCTTCACTTGGGAATGAATTTACACAAAAAACTTTAATTAAGAAAATGGAGAAGACAGGGAAATTAAGACAAAGCTTATAAGGCAGACGATTTCATCTGATACGAGGCATTGATTTATAAGGGAGCAGAAGACCAGTTGTGCGCAGGTTCATGTGATTTGCAGCTGACTATACACTAGTATATATATTTACGTGCACAAACAAGGAATCATTCTTTTATACTTATGTTTTTATCCCAGATCATCCAGTCTATTCAGCATTGCCTCTCAAAAAACAGTGAATTACAATCAAACTCGGAATAATCCGCCACAAAATTAACTACGCAGTGATACTGAACGAACACTATTTTACCACGTGACCCATCAGAATGAGCTCACCAGACCATGTCCTCGGCCGTGGCAGGATGCATCAGCAACAAGGGAGCTAACCTAGTACAGTTGACGTCATTTTCTTTGGTGCAGGACTGCAGAACGGAGAAAATTGACAACAGCCTGAAACTGGAAATCACAAAGGTTCCTCATTTTTTTCACACTATTTATTGCTAAAACTAGGGGGTGGATGAGTTTAATTTAAAACATTACACAATCCAATGTTTTTCCAAGTGTTTCATAATAATTTAATCAGAAACCAACTTTGCCCTTAAATTCTCTTTCCGCCTTTTTTAGCTGGTCAGCGATCTTAACCACGAGACTGCGCAGTACTGTACCTTGGCGGTTGCCCTTGGCGGAAGTCAGGACACATTGGACCTCCGCGATGAACTCAAACATATCCGCCAGAGGGCCTTCGATATAGCACGCCAGAACAAGAATAAATTGATTCCCGCTTTGCGAAAGTAAGAAGGGTCATCATTTTTGGAAGATTTTATTTAAAAAAAACCCATAATGTTTAGCCTTATTAGTCGATACATTTCTTTGTTTCACTCTTTTTTATAAAGCAACTGATTTGAAGGTTTTATAACTTGCATTCATTTCTGCTATGGACCCACCGGTAATCTTAGCAAGTGCAAATGTAACGTCTGTCCAAAAATATTTTATATCATATTTCCAATTCCCTTAAACAACAAAGAAGTAAAAAAAAATTAATTCTCTTTTATTTATAGCATAAAAGACATAATAATGCTGCATCATTGCTCAGAAATACCATGAATACTGAAAACCCATGACATTAGATCAGATATCGTGGCATCAGAAATAACGTTCATTGTTCTGTATTGTTCTGAAATACATCTGTACAACACTATTTTTATGAAGGGGAAAACTTAGGGTAAAAATCATCACTAATGCCTAGGTTACATTTAAGCCGATGGTCGGGCGAGTAAATTTTCTGGTCATGTCGGCTGAAAAAAAACATGATCGGCTGACAAAGTATCGGGCGATACGTAGCAGTCACATTAATTCTTAGGAACACCGATGTCTTGGATAAATAACACAGAAAATGTTTTTTCTTTAGAAACCAGCAATATTTTTTCATAGATCTATATTCAGATAGGTGACGTTAGTAATGTTTGCAAGGCAAAGTGGCAGAATTTTATAAAATTGTGACTTAATGTTGAAAATGTGACTGTGTAAAACTGTATAGAATTGCATAAAAACGACAAATGGTGCAAATCTAAGCAATATTTCTGCTTGTCAGTATTGATGCTTAGTATATTCTCATGTCACCCGCAACTTCTTACCTGTTAAAAAAATCATATCATGGTATCTTTCGTTGCCAAATCATGATCTGTGCTTATCAAATAATTTCATAGTTCTGTAAGTATATCGATCATTTTCAGATGAAGCTCTTGATTTGCTAAATCGTACAGATACTGGTTAGACTCGTGGAGCGCTATTTGTTTGTTCATCCTTTTTAGTTTAATCTATTTCACATGTCTTTGATGTTAAAAAATACAAAGAAAATATAGTTTAATTATTGATTGCCGTTGTCCATGGAAATTTCATAGAGGGCAACTTTCAT